GTTTCTGGGCTGCAAGCGCACATGGCTGGCTTATGTTGAGCTTCTTGTCAGCCAACGCCCCCGAGTCCTTCTCCTCAGGGCTGCTTTCAGTCCATTCTCTGCCTGGCCTGTGTTTGTGCTTGAGGTGGGTAGATAAGGTACTTATTTTTCCCTGTTTTTATCTGAGCGCTGGTAGTCCTCTAATGGTTTCACACACTCCTGTTGGGAGCCTGTATGAATTATTTCCTCCAGAGCTGTCTAGGAAAGAATTCCAGAGCAGCAACAAGGAATATGTGATTTTGGAAACTGTTAGCAAAACTCCCTTATGAGTGCAGTGCTAAATAACAGCATGGTAGCTAGAGCAGGGCATTGCAGTGTGGTTCCTCATACCTGGCTGAGGCTAGCACAGGTATTAGTCACCAATGTTAACTTTGCAGTGAAGACATGCCTCCGAGAGAGGCCTTTCGGAATAGTGCCCTCCAGCCTGTGGCCTGCTTCTTATTCCCTCTGGGACTTTTGTCTTTGAGCACAACAGAGCTCATCACTGAAGCACAAAAACCAGAGAGGATTTGAGAGAAAACGATGAAAATGGTTAAAGGTGCTTGTTGCTAAAAAGCCCCTGAAGGTCCCGAAAGGCTGTGGCTCTGAAAAGGAGCCTGAAGAATGTTAAGGAGCCAGTGGCTCCCAAAAGGCTGCTGTTGGCAGAGCCAGGGTACTGGAAAATCACCACAGCCTAACACAGCTGAGCTGAAAATGGCAAAGGCTTAGAAAAGCTGATCTGAAGAAGAATTAATGTTACTAGAAGAAATACGGAGTGTTTACACATTCAAATAAACCAAGTCTTTCCTTTTTACTTATGCTTTTAGGCTCTTTCAGCAACAACAGCCAAAGGGTTCTGTTAAAATGGAGTGGTTTGAAGCTGCCTGGCTGTGCAAAGCTCGGACAATGTTGAAATACGCCTGTTTCTCTGTCCCAGACTGTGTAGAGCAAGCTTCACTTCTGTTCTCTAAGCACTGGGTGTGTGCTTGCATGCAGGGGCACAGTACGTTAATATGTTTAAAAGCAGTTCATGTCTTGTGGGAAACCTCAGAAAATACTGTCTGACAAAACAGCCCGTGTCTCAGATGCTCTGCTGCTGGGGATATTTCACTGAAGGTCATCTACCCTAACGCTTCGTTTTTATACCTGTTTGCGTCCTCCCTCCCTACGTACTACAGATGCAAATTGGCCTAGCATGAAGGATGACCAACAGCAACAAATATCTTCATAAAAACTACAATTTTGCACAAAGCATCTATTACACTGCACCCCCGTTAGAGTGATATATCCAAGGAAGGGCTTATGCCCTTATGTACAAGCATACCCAGTTTGGCTCCTGAAAAAGGCCATTGCTTTACTAAAGAGTGGCTTATCTGCCTGCCAGCACATCTTGCTTTTAAATATCCCTGTTTATGGCAAGAACATGCAAGATTCTATGATTCCTTGTAAAAATGGAAGGCCAGTAATTTTCCTGGTAATGTCTTTCATTTTCGCTTGTTGGCAAAATCAAGCCAATTATTCTCTGTAAATGTTGTTAAAGCTTTCTGGATTTACCGGAGAGATCCAAGAGCAGACCTCCCAAGTGAAATAACTTAGCTGTCATGGGAACGCCTTGGGCAGTAAGGCCTTGTTTCTGAACCCTTGTGCCATGAAAGCATAAGGATTGCAGGGAGTTGTGAGCACCTGCTGAAGCTGCTGGTGCACTCAAGGTGTTTATAAGGTTTCTGTCTTATAGTTTTCTCCAGTGAATAGCAAGAAAACTTTGTGCTGCAGTCTGAGGAAGGCACATGTGTGCTTTCTCATTCATTTTCACAAACCTTAGAACTGTATATCTTTGAGACCTCTCCTGCTGTGTTGGATTTTAGATGAAATTGCCAAGGGATTAAGAAAAGAGGAGATTTATAGGAGGGAGGAGGCAGCAAGGGCAGAGACACATATGGATCCAGGAGCATGGATAAAAATCTTTTCCATGTGATTTTGTACTAACAAAAAACAGGAGGCCACAATCTGAAATCCATGCAAGGAGCTGCTCATTTGGGTCTTTTAGTAATTCATTGCCTTTGCTTTTCATCTGTAGGTTGGATTGATGGTTTAGATGCTGTTAGGAGCTTTACCTCTGCCTCCAGATTACTTACCATACCAAGAAAGTGTAGAAATCTTAAATTTTGAAGCTTACAAATTGTGAAAGCTGAAATTTTGGAGTAAATAAAATGGTGTTGCAGAAGATAATGTGCTCCAGCTGTTTGGTTATTGTTTTTCCCTAAAAATTGAAGATTTTAGAGGATCTGTGGGAAATTTTATCCTGAGGATTTTGTTTCTAATCAAAGCACCCTGTGGGGGAGATGGAGCTGAAGTGACTTTTGGCATGTCAGTTCGATTGCTGCCATCTGTGTTTTAAAAATTAACAACAAAAATACATTTTGTTGGGCTACAGAGTCAAGAAATTTAAACTCCAGTCCTCAGCCCACAAAGGTGTGAGTCGCAGCTCCCTTAGAAATTGTTTTTGTTTGTTTTTGTTAGGATCTTGTCTCTTTAGTTGTGGAGGAAGAATCTCAGAAACGTGAGAAGAATTCAGGCGTCTGCTTCCCTGTTCCTGTCCCTCATCCTGTGATCCTGGAGATCGGCTGTGGCTCTGGAGCAATTGCTCTGAGTCTATTGTGCAAACTGCGACAGGTGAGATTTTTTCAGTGCTCGTGGTACAGTAGATGCCCGTGTTACTGGACAATCCCACTCTACTAGCCTTCACTGAGACTTCACAAACTTATTTAGTTTGATTGGGACTTCAGCAGCTAAGGTCTCTGACAGGCTCTATGAGTTGATACTGGGTAGAAGAGGAATATTTAGGAATTGCTCTCTCTTAGCTGTCTGCAAGGAGACATAGTCAGAATGAAAGGAGCAAATGTGCTCATTCTTCAGCTGTTGCAGCTCATTATCAATCACCTTAGCTTGAAGCACTGGTGGGCATTGGTTTAAGCTAATATCCTGGGCTGTGGACAAGAGGCATGGGCACATATTCTATTAATTTAATTTATGGGATAGTCATCTCTAAAAGTCACCTTGCTGTGAATTGAAAGATCTTGTCCCTAAAAGAATGAGGACTAAATGAAGGGGATTACCACAGAAGTGTCAGTAGTTGGGATCAATACGACAAGCATACATCACACTGCTACAACTGCCAAACCACTTTTTTGAGGTCTTTTGTTCCCTACTAACAACCCACACCCGCTGAACAGAGTGAAAAGAGCAGGAAGGGGACAGAGATCTGAGCGACCAAAGCCCTTCTTTCCCCTGATTATTGTGGCATGTAACATGCTTACTGAGATACTGTTTGTAAACAAAGAGAAATGAACCCAAGATTGCATGTAGTTAAGGGAAAAATATTCCTTTTTCCTCAGAATTGCATGCCAACCAGTTCCTTCTTGTGAACAAGGATTTCAGTGGCCAGTCCCTCCTCTTGTAGAAGTGCAAGAATTAGAGGTTGCTGCCTGCGTTCCTCCTCCCAGTGACCTGATAAAGTTAGTACTTGAGCTTCACAACTTCAAAGTATAATTACTCTAATTTCCTGAGCTGTACTTCATGCTCTTTTCCTTGCCTGTTAAGTTAAAGAGCGGTGTCAGTGTGTCCCTGTGACAGATAACAGGCCTTTTCCAGCTGACTGACACAAACTGCTGTGCCCAGAGAAATAAGGAGCCTTGACTGATTAGAGTTAGCGGTAGCCACACTGACAGCTAAGTGGAGTTTACGCTATGTGTGATCTCTTTAGTATTTGAGGCAGAATTTGGCACTAAGGTGTTGAGAAAACAACAGCAACTTTTCACTTATGGATTCAGCTATATCTGTCACCTTAAGGGTCAGCTTCATGTGTTTGGGTGCTAGTCTCAGGCTGTGAAATTAATCCCCCTAGGAACCATGGCTGATCACATCATCATCTCCTAATGCGAAGTAGTTTCTTTGAGCATGCTTTCTCTATGTAAATACTTGCCAACATCTGTGTTTACAAAACATGAAGCAAAGCAAAAAGAAGTCAGGCCTTTGCCTGCACTTTTCCCAAGGTGGAATGGAAGGTTAAATAAATCTCTAAGTGTATAGTCCTATCTCTTAATGTTACTGTGGTGGAGGACTCTCAAATACTTGATGCACAGTCAAGCACGTGCAGTCAGTACAGGCAGTGAATGTGGTGTAAGGACTGCAGTGGAGTAACTAGGCAAAAGGTGTCTGCGTAACAGATGGAAAATGCCAGACCCTCTGTCCAAGTGGTTCTGTTAATGCCAGGAGAGATTCCATCCACGTTAGAGAGGGGAAGCCTAGGACATGATCTTCCTTTAACCTGTGTCTAGCCCTGGCTAGCCAGAGTCTCGCACTACCAGGGGCTGTGAGCGTATCAGGTGATGTGAGTCAGTGTGACTCCATTGTTGTCAGCTGAGTTGGTGTGGTCAGAAGCCTGTCTATTTTGGTAGGCTGCTGGCACTGTTGCAGAGTGCCTTCTGTCATCTTAGTGGCCTTGCTAGAACTGACTTGTGATCCCATCAGTGCCCTGAGCTGCGTTCTTCATGAGCTGTTCCTTTTAGGAGCCAAGAGTGAACAGTCAATTGTCAAAAGTTCCTGTCTTGCATGGCCCTTTTGGCAGAGTGTGTGTGCTCAGGAACCTTTATGTTGTAATACTTGTTTGTTTGTTTGTTTTTTCTTTCCCAGAGCCAGGTGATAGCTGTGGATAAAGAGAAGGCTGCTGTGGATCTCACCAGGGAGAATGCACATAGGTACAAGCCCACATATTACCCATTTTTTGTAAACTATTGTTTGAGAACAACCAAGAGTCCTCATTATTTGAGCATGTGATTCATGTTTATCACCACTGGAAAAAAAGGGTATGTTTAGTTGTTTAAACTCCTGGAGTGTGTGAGAATTCAGGAAAAAATGCTTCTGTTTACTGGACTATTTTTTTCCTTTGACTTGTGAAAGTGCTTTGCAAAGACAGCAGCCTAAATAAAACAGTAGTACATAAATGCTGTCTGTCTTCCAAGGGTTTTCAAAGTGTTTAATGGTAACTACTTATCCCTTTCTATGAACTTGGGAAACTCAAGGTAGCAGGTAGTTAAGAATGTGTATGACACTGAGGAGGTTAAGCACAAGTATAGCCTGAACCTTTCTCTCTCTGGCTCCCTAAGTCATTACTGCTGTGCTTGTTTCTGTCGTTGCTCCTCCAGATATAAGCTTGCACACTCAGATAGCACCTGCTCTCTGCCGTGGTAGTGTGGTATCCCTCAGCATCTTCCCTGCAGTCTTGGGTTTGGTGAGAACGGTGCTGCTGGGCCCCATGCTGTGCACACCTGCGCAGTGGCTGGATGTTCAGAGCTGCTGAATCAAGCGTCTTGTGCCTGGTGTCAGAACAACTCTGTATCAGGTTGACCTTGTCCCTCATAGTGGCTCCACTTCCTCAGCTGGTTCTTTTTAACCCTGGTTGTTCTGGAATGTCACTCACATAGCGAGCACCGGAGCTAGAATCTCAGTATGTGTTTGAGTGTGGGATCCCAGTCTCTGTAGACATCATAAAAGGTATAGAGCTCTACTATGTATTCTTATCCTCAGAAAATGCTGGGCCCTATGCGTTCGTTAGAGCAGTCTCAGAAAGAATTCCTATTGCTACGTCTTATGGAGGCCAGCACAGCTGTGAGTCATAAGTGGTGCTCATTAACTGACATTTCTGCCCATATACCCCTTTTTCCCAGGCTGCTGCCAGCATTGTGACTACAGAGACAGGCTACTTCTGTTTCTGGCTGCACTAAGCTGCATCTCTTCACTTCTTGCAGCCCAGTCCCAGCTCTTACATGACTCTGAAGTGATGTGTAGGAACAAGCCTTCCCAAACTTGTCACCTCACGATTAATCTTTGCCTCCTAGCCCAGTTGTAGGGAATGGGGAGCAGAGATTTCCTTCTGATGTGCAAGTGTCAAACCAAATTCTGTTGCAATTTTCATACATGTAGTAAAAGCAGGCCAGATCTTTACCTCCTTGGTAGATTATTGCTCTGGCATCTGGGAAAAATCATCTTGCTTATTAACACTCTCTGATGGCTCAAGAGTGGCCGAGGGAGTGTAAATGCAATGCCAGAGAACCTCATATTTCTCCATGGATATTTTTGTTGCCTCCTTGTGATCTTGTCCATGGTGTGGTGCCCTGTAGCTCTTGGGAGAGGAGCCAGCAGGATAAGCCGTGTCACTGCTTGTCTGAAGCCAGCTTGGTTCCTGCTTTTTCAGAGCTCCCTTGTCACAGCTGTGTTCTCTAGATGCTTAGGTGAGTCTTGCTCTCACTAAATCAGTCCTAGTGCCAGATTGCATATGTGGGCACGCTGCAGACAGATGCAGGAATTCCTCCCTTTCTCGATGCCTGTGTATGCTGACAGGGCAGTACCATAGGCCCGGGGAATGGCATCTCCTGTGGGAGGCTTGGAGTCTTTCTGTCAGCAGATCTTGATCAGCCTTGTCTTTCTGACTTTGAAAAAGTGCTTCCTCTGACATTGCTCAAGTGTTTTCACAAAAGCCAGAGGCAGAAATGGTGAGAAGAGAGGTATTTTGATGTAGCTGAGGAATTAGAGGTTCTGTTCCCTCCTTGCTGTCTCATGCTCTCCCTTTCTGTGACTTCTATAGTTTCAGGCTGACACCAAGCACCAAGGCTACTTTCATACTGGCCTCTCTTTCCTGTCACAGGAGCATCAAGGGAACTTTGCTCACAACTCCTAAGGTTTAAGGGGATCACTGTCTCATCTGTTTTTGCCTGGCAGCAAACGTAGTCTGTAGCAAGCTGGGAGCAAGGGATGGATCATGCCAGGTTGTGACAGGCTGGAGCACCGTGCGGTGGCAGTCTGGCAGTCTCAAGGCTGTTCTACCTTGGATTAGTGCAGTGAGTCAGATCAGAATCTTGGCCAAGATTTCTCTCTAAGAAATACCAGTGTGTTTATAGACCTGTTTCTTAAAAATAGTGAGCCAGCATGCTTACTTGCTCACATGTCACAGGTAAGGGAGAGGTGTTTGTGTCTTCTGGTACCTTCAGGGGTTCTGCTGGTGTGAGCGCCCTGAGGCTGTCTAGCTGCAGATGAAAGGCACTGACTGGAACATGAGTTTCCTCTCCCTGCACAGAGATGTCAGGGGCAAGGAAGATAATGAGTTAGAAACTAGCATCTGAGAGATCCTAGTGTGCATTTTAAATACATTCTACTGTACAGTCTGTGCATGAGCTGTCCCTAAAGGAGTCCTTTTTCCTAGCTCTGCCTGGCTCAGGGGTTCTGCTGCACTGCATGTGCTGGCCTCCTGGTAGTGTACAGGAACATCTCATCACCTTAATGCTGGCATGTGAGATGAGATCCAGAGATACCTGGAAAATATGCTCAGATGGCAGAACACTGTTAAGATGTAGATTATCAAAGGGGCTGGAGAAAGAATGTGGCAAACGTGAGCGTGTTGTCTCCACTTACAGTAGCAGGGTTACATATTTGAAGCAGGTGATTTTGTTGAGTTTTTTTTTTTTTCTTTTCAGGGGTGGTGAGCTTAGCTGAGGGAGGCCTTGGAGATGTAGTTAATGTGCAGCAGGATGAGGGAGTGCTGCTGTATATATGGCAAGGGCTGATACATACAGGTTTTGGGTGCACAGGAGCTGTACCCAGATGCAGCAGGGTGAGGGAGTGCTGCTGTATATATGGCAACGGCTGATACATATAGGTTTTGGGTGCACAGGAGCTGTACCCAGGAATCAGCACGGGTGCACAGTGTGCTCTTTGCTTGGAATGTTGTTCACAGGGCAAAGAACTGATCCTAAACTTCCCTTGTGGCTTGAGAGGAATCCAGCTGCAGTCAGTGGGGTAGCGCATACGTGTATCAGATAAGAGGTGTGATATTTAATTGTCTGTTTATAGAATGTGCTGTTCATGAATCCACATAAAATCTTTCTTCTTTCTATTCTTGCATCTGAAATGTTACAGGCTGCAACTCCAGGACAGGATCCACATCCTTCACCATGATGTTTCGTATGGTACTCTTTTCATTCTCCTTTTTTACTTCAGTGGAGGGAGGCAGGTGTGAGAGACAGCCAAGGGACCCCTTTGGGATGCAGAGGTCGGGAGGGTGTTGAAGTTAATGGAGAAAAATGTCACTCAGAAGTGAGCCAGTGAAGCTTTTTCCTTCAGAGATTTCCAGGACAGTTGATCAGCTGAGAGAAGTCCCTGACTGCATCAGAAGGTGAATTGTTCCTGTTTTTAGGTGTCTAAAGGTTGTGTTTGAGCTGGTAGTCCAAGTGCTTTCTAGTGTTTCTAGAGAGAGGCAAATGTATACACACGGTTACTCATTCCATGCTGGTATGCATGCTTTAGATAAACATGTAGGTACCTGTCTCTCCATTAGTGTTAGAGGGAGGCCAGATATTTTGTTTAGATTAAATGTCCAGCCTTCTTCATCTGAAATTACGTGAGCCGAACCAGGGAAGGATACCTGTTGTCTTCCCCAGAGCCAGCTGAAACCAGTTAAAACTGCCATTTGGTGAGGCTCAGACAGTGAGGTGGATAAGTGGTCAGCTGTTTCTTAGCCAGGAGCTATGGAGCCAGGAGCTCCAGTGTTGTAGATTCATTAGTGCAAAATTTTATCAGAGAGAAGCAGAACCAAATACATGTGTGCGTGTGTGTCGGGAGGGACAGTTTCCTGGATAGGATTTTGACATTGAACTTATAGGGAAGGTTGCTATGGTTGAGAGTTGGTTGTGATTCTTTTTCTTTTCTAGGTTCTGCCGAGCAGCTGCTGCTTTTGGGCCCTGTAGACTTCATAGTCAGTAACCCCCCGTATGTCTTCCATGAAGACATGGCTTTCTTGGATGCAGAAATCCTCTGGTAATCAAATTGAGTTTTCTTCTCCTGTTCCTTGAAGCAAGATTTTCTGTCTGCTTCCTTATAGTACACACAATTGCACACAAAACATAGTGTAGGTGTGTTTCTATGGTATATAGTAATACAGTGTTACTTTGATACTGCTTGCAGGTCTGAAACAATATCAAAGTATGTTAAAGATTTCTAAAAATGGAAAAAGCACAGACTTTGAAATTAACAAGTTTCCAATCCAAAACTGTTCCAGAACATTTTTCCTGTTAGACCTTTTTTTTCCCCCCCCATAATTTGTGTGACTTTATGAAGAAGAAGCGTAAGTAATCCGAGCAGCTTTTTGTGATGGAAAGAAACTGGGGTAGACGTGCTGCAACCTATTCTCATCCCAATATTTGTCTTAAGCACACAAACATGAATAAACTCTTTTGGGATGTGGAACTACTTTGTGTGTGCTGGTTCTTGTTCAGGATTAGTTGTCATGCGTGTCAGGACAAAGTCAAGTGCAAGATGTGCACCAGAGCAGGTTCTGAAAGCTGAGCTTTCTACATCCTAATTTGCTCTGCTAGGTTAGAAGGCAGCACAGTCTGGCTGTTGGCACAGTTGAAATAAAGCAGGTGACCCTGTGCTATACGACCCTCTGCCTCCCTCTCCAGCTAGCACAGAGAGGACAGATCCACGTGTTTGAACTGTGTGACCCTGGCTGCAGTTGGCTCATAATTTTCAGGAAGAGTTCAGGGGATGTTTTCTGCTTGTGCTTCTCATGGAGTTTCTCAGTCTAGTGGTAGCTGCCTTCCTGCTCCCTGTATTTTACATAAAAGCTATGAGTGCTGGCACCTGCTGTAGGAATTCAGGTGAGTTAGGTGGACCTTTCTCCATGGAGTGTGGGGCAATGCCTCCTCAAGAGTGTGGTTCATGCCACATGAATGGCTGTTAACGTCTTCTTATTCCCACACTCCAGCTATGAGGACCTTGATGCACTAGATGGGGGAGATGATGGGATGAGAGTCATCAAAACGATTCTGGGTTTGGCTCCTTCTCTTCTGAAGGATTCTGGGTAAGCACGGTTATCTGTTTGAATTTCATGTCATTTGTTCATTCACTTCTATAACTTCTGTTTTCTTTTCATATGGGAAGGTACAGAGGGAAAATAGTTTGCAAAAATGTCTGCCCCTCCCTGCCGCATTTAGTAGTAGCAGTTTAAAAAATGACGTGTGTATAAGCAAAATTAGCTTGCAATTGGGTAATAAAGGGATGTGGGCCTTCCTTGACCAGTGGTGGTGTTTCATACTCATTAGTGAAGCGTAGATCTTTAAAGGTCAAAGCAGCAACAAAAAGAACACAAAAGAGAGCAGCAGAGACAGTGCAAAAAAGAAAAAAAAGGAAGCTTTCTAAGCAGAAAAACTGATAGAAAGAGAAGCAATACAGAACTCTGTGAGAATGGATGTAGATCTCTACTCCTTCCCGCCCTTTAATTAGGGGAAACTTGTTTATTGTGCCAGGGTACAATGCTGAATATCCCAGGAGAAAGAAGATCAGCCAGGAATAGTTTCTTAAATGTTATATTTCTCCATGGTTGGTACTCAAGACTGATTGTTCCTATTCCCTGTCGTGTGGGATCCATTTTGTGCTTAAAGATCAACATGCTGATCCCCAAAAGACTGTGGGCCAGGGCATTCACATATCCTGTTGGAAATTCCTGACATTTTACCAGCATAAGAGAGGTCATTGAAAAACTACTTTTTTGAGAAGAGGAAGAGGAATATTGAGAGGCATACTGCATGCAGAAGAATTGATTCCTTGTGCTTTGCATAACCACAAGAGCGGAAGATGCTCCTCAGAACATTCCAGCAACAGAGATTGGTCCCATGAGGTTGTTTGTTAGGATTATTTTTTTTCCTTTCCTTTTTTGCTTGTTATATAAGGTGGAGCCCTCATTGAGTAGTGGAAGTTTTTTAAGGTCAGGAATGAGATCCACACCCAGCTTGTAGTTTGGTGAATTTATAGGGAGTATTCAGTGTGGGAAATCTTAAGAATTCTCAGGAGAGGGTATGGTTGGGGCTTGGCCTCTGTTCTTTGCCTGTTAAACTTGTGTCTTGCTGTGCTGTCATGGGCTGTAGCCAGTTCCATCGCCTCCACGTGCCTGTAAGCTGGGGTGGTTCTACCTTGTTCCAGGAGGGGAGACTTGGAAATGGGCTGGTGGCATAAGGCCTGGCTGCAGCAGAGATGGAAGCAGCCCTGCAGTATCCAGGCCTAGCCCTGGGCACTAGCTGAGGTTGTCGGATTAGTTCCCTTATCGCTGCTGCACTCAGTCCGTTGTACAGTCCTGGATGCAGGACTGTATGGTCTGAATGATGGTGGTGTTTTCAAACTGATTTATGGAGACATTTACTATGGGAAAATGTGTGTACTCACTTGTGCTTTGTGACTCTCACGACGGGGCCTTAATGACAACCACAAAGAAAAACTTCATGCTCCCAGTCCAGTGCTCGGTGTTCTTGCATTTGCATCCTGAAATTTCTGAGGCCTTAAGTTTTTGGGGACCTCAAAAAGACAGAGCTGGCAGTATCTCTATATAAGGTTCAAAAGGGATCCTTACATCTGGGTACAAGAGTTTAACTGCTCACACAGAGGAGTACCGTGAGAATTCCCCCAAGATCAACATTTTCTCCCTCTGACAGAAGCAATTGGGATCTACATCTTAAATGGACAGCTATGATTTAGTTTAGGATTATTGGACTGCAGCGTGCTGACCACCTCGTTTTCTGCACTGATAGGAATCATCCAGAAAGAAAGACCTTTATGTTTATCAGTTTAGCAACCTAAATGTGTGCATCTACCCACTTACTGCTCCCAAATGTGTCCTTTCAGGAGTGTGTTTCTGGAAGTTGATCCCAGACACCCAAATATGGTGGAGAACTGGCTACAGGCACACCCCCATTTACTACTCATCCTCCGTGCCATTCACAAGGACTTCTGTGGCAAGTAAGTCTGTTTTACCTTCAGATATTTGCTTCAGATATAGGTCTGTGTCCTTTGTAGATTAGGTCCCTGCACCCTGATATATTGAATGAACTCAGCCAAAGAAAGTTCACAGCTGAAACCAATCTTTAACAAGCTAGAGGCTCCCTTCAAGTATCTCAACCTTCTAATATCCTGACATAGTCTGGCAAGTGTTTCTGAGTCAGAAATTCTGATGCAGGTAAGCATTTGTGATGGGATGGCTAGGTTTGGTCAGATTATTGACATTGGAAAATTGCTGCGTAGGATGGAGTTAGAGGAATGTTCTCCCCAGCAAGACTTAAACCTCTGATCATTGTTTTTGCCACAGGCCTAGGTTTCTGCACATCCAAAAACAAAGCAGATGACAACTGTACCAGAAATAACTCTTCTTGCATGTGCTTTTTGCTGGTGACCCCTGCTGGACAGCTTGTTGAAAGTTCTGCGTGGCAAAAGTAATCTCCACTTCATTCCCCAGTGCATTGAACTCTCTATGCAGTGGCAGACCCCCTCGTTTCCTGATAACAGACTTCATCCGGTGATGCAAGAGTTCAAAAAAAAATGTTTCACCTTCCTTGGGGAACTGTATGCAACTTTTTAGTTTGCTCTGCTAAAGTGACTCATTAATCTCAGGACCCAATATGGTAGAGTTCACAACTCCAGATATTTCATTGCTGTGGTCGCAGATTTCAAAGAAATACATTAAAAATAAAACTTCTCAACATGTCAGATCGCCCATTTGACCTAGAAGGAATTTCATTTTTTCTTTCGCCTTGAGATGCGTAGAATGTGACCAGATTGGATGATAGATCCAAACTCTGGCTTATATTGGCATGTGGATTTGCTGGTATAATGGGACATGACTAACCTGCACGTTTAAAATTCAGTTCTGTTCCAGGATCCTGATACTCTGGAGTAGATCTCCAACAGCAAAGCAACCTTCGTTTCTCAGTCCTGCTGAGTGACATTTTGCTGAAGGATCAGTGCACATGTTACACCGTCTGAATCTACAGCACCTGACACTTGGTGGATGCTGCCAGAAACAATCAAAACATCGTAGTAAAGATAGTGCTTCAGATCAGTGTCCTTACAAGAACTGCTGTGCTATTATGTTTGCAAACATGCTAGCAGACCCGAATGAACCTCTGGCATCCTCATATTGCTTCTGATAGTAACTGAAATGCCCAACTTCTGTGTAAGGTATTTAAATGCAAAACGTTACAAAGAAGGCCAGAATTGCTACTCCAGTTTTGCAGATGGAGAAGTTGAAAAACAGGAGGTGTAATGGATTCTACAGAAATTGTCAACAGGCTAAGTCTGGAGCAGGACCCAGTCTCTTGACAGTGGGAATAACTGAGATCTTTTTCTTTGGGAAGAATGACTCAGAGTAGGGCTGCCTGAAACAGCACTGAGAGAAGTCCCTGAAACGGACAGTCAACATCATGACACTATAAATAATGGAAGGATTAAATTCGAACTGCTTCCTGTTCTTGCTGTTGTTTCTGGTGTTGCAAGTTCCCTTCCTGACCATAGCTAGCCAGGGAAGAAAGGAAAGAAAGCAAAGCGAAGGACCTGGTCTGCCAGTCTGAATTGAAGCTCTTGCTGGGCCAGTGGAGGTGAGCACTGAGGAGGGAGTGGAAGTGTCCCCACAGTGACAGGCGCTATCAGGCTCTCTGTCCAGGCTGAACTGGCAGTGCATAGCCAGAAACATTAGGTGTCAGCTGCATCAGCAAAATGCGTCCGTTTGGAAGGCTCCAGCAGATTCAGAGAGCTTTATATCTAATCCCTTTCCCCTCTATCTCTCCCACACTCACACTCCTCACTCTTCAGTTTGTTCTTTAACTCTTGAACGTTGGCCCTGCTTTTCCGCAGATACTCGAGCTCTCTCTGAGGTGCCAGTGCTCGGGTCTCCAGTTGGATCCTCTCTTCACCCCCTGGGCTTTTACTCTGTCGTACCACTCAGCATTGCATTTATCCTCCCCACTGTGCTATGCACTCCAGTAGTTTGCCGTGCCCCAAACGCTCTCTACTTGAAGTTATGAACCTTCTCTGGACTGCAGTACTGGCCCTGGTCAAACAGAGTAGAGGAAATCTAGGGAAGGAGAGAATGAAAAAAGTTCAGTTAAAATGCACTTGATCCTAGGTTTGGCAATAAAGTTCCAGCACAGCTGATTTCCAGCAGCTTTGTCTGCTAGAGCTATGAGTACAAATTGTAGTAAAAGAGATGTTGCTTAGTTTGTTTGTTTGTTTTTAAATAATAGGTTAGGGTCTTTTTTAAAGTTCAGTTTGTTAGACTTATTTCTTTCATTTTTAAACAGAGTTCATAGATTTCATCTGGGTATTGCCAGTGTTTATGTATGAAACAGAGCAACACACACAGCTTGCTTCTGTAAGATACTTCAGAGGCTGGATAGTTTACTGACTTACGAGAGTGTTAAATGGCATCATATTGCATTCTTCAAGGGGTAGGCTGGTTCCCTGCAGCTGGCTAGCATTAGCTGTCCCCCTGAGCGCTGGTGGCTGGGCTGCAGAAAGCAATGTGCCTTTTCTCGGAAATATCAATCAATCCTTGTCAGAGCTCTGAGCAGGACACTTTCTCTGTTAGACAGACTCTTGGTCTAATGCAGTAGGACAAGTGTTAAATTCCTATATTTATAGCTAAAGCAATAATAGAAAAGCTTGCATTTCTGTGGGTTTGCGCTGCGTAGTGGTTATACGTCTCGGAAAATCACATGGCGCTGCTGACCTTCTCGTGAAGACAAGAATGGAGAAAACTTGTTCTTCCTCCCAAGAGGCTGGATTTATTTGTCAGATTTGCATCTGAGGGAATGTGCTGGTGTAGTACAATGTGTTCCTCAGTGCTTTACGCATATTGGCCCAGGCTCATTTTGGTGCAGAAGCACTGCAAAGCTTTTTGGCGATGGTGGTTTTCAGGAACCGCAGGTACTCCCAGCACCCTTGCTAAAGCACGGGACTGTGTCTGTTGTCTTTGTTCCTGTGAGTGGGAGCCTGAGCTGACACCAGGAATATACTGTGCATGTGAGCTGTCTGCAGAGACACAGCTGCTCCCTGAAGCCACAGAAGGCTGATGCTTCAGTCTGCGTTTTACGTAATCCAGTATCTGACATACATCAAATTTTCTGGGAACTTACTGGGTCTTTGGAGCTGTATCAGAAAGGTGATTTGTTTCCTGAAGCAATGCTTTCAGAGAGGGGCTTTGTTTTCCTGCAGGACTCTGAAGATGGTGGCTGTGTGTGTGTGTGCTCATGTCTGTGTTTTGGAGAGTTGCCAGGGGTGAAGTATCCCCTAGGATAACGCTGGCTGTCCCTGAGGAGGTGGGAAGAGCTGGGTCCTTGGCAGAGCCCTGCAGATGGTGCTGTGGCCCCAGTTTGGCTGTGCCTGTGCTGGAGACCAGTCCTGCCACAGGCTTCTGCTCTGTGGGAGCACGGCAAGGTGTGGTCAACAGAGGTCTTCAGTGTAGATGCAGCTGCAAAGTGGGGCTTTAACCTCTGTTCCTGTGTCAGTAAAACTAAACTTCAGCATGGGGATCATGTAGGGAAGCTGGGAGGAGACCTCACGGCTGTGATGTAGGGCTGGGATTGTACCTCAGGCTGTTAAAGGGAGGCCTGAAGCCACCCTAGGGCTGCATTAATCCATGGTTTTGGACAATCTCTAGTACGCTGGAGAACAGAGAGTACCATTCCTGTTCTGGTGTAATTTACCTGTAAGCACCCTGAAGTGCAAGTACCACCTGTGTTTTCAGTCTTCCACCTAAGATGTGGGGTGAAAGGGACTTTCTTGGGGACCTCAGAGAGTCCAAGAAGTGTGTTTGTCCTCACAGCACTCTCAGCCAAGCTTGTGCTTGCAGGGCTGGGACTCCTTTCCAGGTGAGGATCTGACAGACATAGAGTGACTCTATTAGGGTGACACAGGAAATCTCTGGGGACCCAGGTGACTGAATGTGCATGGATTACTGGCTAGCACTCTGTTCCTTGGTGCAGGGCCATTGATCAAAATGGGTTGGAAGAGAGCTTGACAGTCATCTAGCCCAATTTCCCTGTCCAAGTACGAGTCAGCTTGCTTTACATAATTCCTGACAAATGTTTGCCCAACCTGATCTAAAAGGTCTCCAGTGCTGATAAGGACTTTTGCATGCAATCTGTTCTGGTGCTTTGTTGTTCTTCCTGCTAGAAAGTTATACTTTGCCCCTAGTCTTCCTTGCTGCCATTAAAGCTGAGTACTTCTTCTCCTGTCTTGAGGTGGGGAACAGTTGACTCCTTAGGGCAGCTTCCATGTGGTAGTCTGTTCCCGTGTTTCCTCACAGTCCTAATTTCTGAGGAAAGAACACCAACATTGTGCTGTTTCTTCAGGCTGCTTGCACATCCTTCCCTCGCTGCTTGAGAGATATAAAGGGGGACCAGGTGTGCTGAAGGGCAGGGGTGCTTCAGATGCTGTAGGTGATACTTGTGCCTATGGTGACTGCAATAACAGAGCTGCTACAACTCATGGTATTACAGAGGAGAAGTCATTTCCCAAGCCGTGAAGCCCAAGCCAAAACTTGCATTAACATTTTGTTTGTCTGGGCAAGTTTTCAGAAGCTGTATTTATGTTTTAATAAACTACTATTTCTACTCTGGGTTGCATCCAGAGGGACAAATACCCAGTGAGAGAATGCTTCTCTCACAGTCAAGAAGATGATAAGATACCAAGAGAGACTTTATCCAGTTTCCAGGCTATTTCCTCTTCCATAGATGTTTTGATGTGCTTTGAGTTAAGTGTTGGAAGTTTCAGATGTTCCTCCCTGTGGAGTGTCATGTCACAGTCCTTTTCTGTTTCCTTTGCCTGGCGGCTGCTTGCAAACTTCAGCATGGTCCATCCGGTCCCGGTGAACGCGGGAGGCTCTGGGATCATGGCCAAGCATGCTCTGCATTCAGCTGTTGCAGTTGGGACAGGCAGCAGGAGTTACTGTAGCCTCAAGGATGTTCTAAAACGTGCCCTAGTTGTAGAATCTGACCTGTACCCAGCTTTCTCCTGCCTTGCAAGTCACCTCTCTGGTTGTGTCAGATGGACTTAGGCTGACTTGCCTGGGGTTCAGAGTCTGCATCTGAACTGTTCCCAAGATTTGCCCTCCAGCCTGGGGTAGACTTTTGTAAAGGTGCCTGCAAGCAGGAGGTGGTGTCTTGCAGGATACTGATCTATATGAGAGCCTCTGGGCTCTCTGGTCTCGCCTGTGACTGCAATGATGGGTCTGGCAGAACAGCCTTCTGAGGACAGAATAAAAGTACAAGTGGTTTGCTAAGTTGTTTGCTCATGTTACTTGGGGTTTCAGTCCCCTCCAGGGAGGGTACATAAGGGGTATTTTACCCCC